AAAACTGCAAATGAGTTACTAATGAGTTTGGTAACTGATTTGCAGTTTTTTACAATAGTAAATTCTAAGCCCTCTAAATACTTTTTATGAATAATTTGTAGTCAAATGAATATTCTAAAGGAAATTACCGTATCTATCCCTGCCATCAGCATATCAGCAGCGGTTACCATGGTTCCTGATACATCAAGACCTTTAGTCAAAAGCATAGATTGGAGCATTGTAAGTTCCTTATCCTCTAATGAGTCTTCCTTCAACCTCTCTAGCGCCTGATTTATATATTTGAAAGCAATTCTGAAAATGAAACTTTTTTTCATTTCATGGCAATCTAACTGAAATGAGTCAATTTGAATTTTAAATCATATCTACTGAAAGGAAAAGCATTGCAACAGAAATAACATAGCACGTAAGTCCATGGAAGTATGTAAGTCCCCAGAAGTATGTAAATCTGTAGAAGAATACGCAATTCTTAAATCTGATTTTCAGGTGGGATGCGTTTTGAGATTCAGCTCGTATTTTATTATATAAGTTTATAATGTTTTACTCACCCACAGAATATTATTCTTGGTTACTTTTTCTTTCATATCTGTGAAATAGTTCAACATTTATTGCAAATGAACAATTTACATTGAAATTTTAAAATGCCATGTGTCATAACGTCTACAATAAATATAGATTGATTTAGTAATAATCAGTCCTTCGTAATGACTTCAGCAAGGATCGTAGGTTTGCTTTCAAACAAATATAAATATTCTAATATAACTTCGAATTTTCCTGATAGAAATCAATGTTTAATAACTGTTTTACAGAATTTTTATATTACAAAGTACTTATTCCAAAATGAAAAATGCTTCTGTTGCTCATACATATAAAACAGCAGCACATAATTTCATATGTTATCTAAATTCTTCTTTTACTCGTTAAGAATTATAAGTTCTTTACTAAAAATTAAGTTTTATTCAATTTAAAATAAAAAAATATTATGTCAATATAAGCAGCTAACATATGACAACAAGTCTAAAAAACAAGTTTCTGTTCAAGAACTTTCGAAATTATACTACTGTATATTTTATTTCATTTAAGGCAAATTCTGTTGCTAGTTTTCCTTTTCTTTAATATTGTTGATAGTACACTTATCAAAAACTGTACTTCTCTTAAATTTAATTTTCGGTTGTTGAGAGCAGCTTAAAAAAGTTCAGTTCGATAATACAGGATGGTCATACAGAAACTTTGCCAACATCCGCACTTCTGTCGTCCGTTGCGATTAACCGATCGAGATGAGTTACAGTTACAGAATCTCAAAACTGCCGGATGGCAACGCTAACTTTTTCCGATCTCTAAATGTTAAGTGCATATGCGAAAACTCTAAATAGCATTGGAACGGTACCCATATGTCCAAAAACTGCTTTGTTATGCATACACAAAAAAGAGTTCTGAAAACCGGCTAACGAAATACGCTCTGGGCGCACGCAGAAAATTGGCATATGACAGAGGCAAGATACCAATCACAAAACGTCGATCACAAGATATTCAGCGTAGGAAACCGATAAAATGCTAGGCGGGTATGCGAAGTCGTCATTCGGGAACTCGCACATAGTAACGAAATGACTCTGCCTGGGAAAGTTCGTGGTGAATTGATAAAACTGTATTGTCAAAATAGGATGAACGCTTCGGAAGCCTTGCGTATGTATCTCCGAAATCATCTGCAACGACGTGGTCCATGTACTCCACAAGCTCTGCTTAATTTAGTGCACAAATTCGAAGATGCGGGTTGCACCTGTGATAAGCCGTGCTCCGGACGGCCAACAGTTTCTGAGGATGTTGTTATGGAAATGTATCCCAAAGTGACTGCAGGAAATATGTTAACCACAATAGGCACAACGCATGTGTTGGATATTCCGAAGACAACGGTCTTCAAGCTACAGCACTTGGTTCTCCAGCTGTTCCCCTACTGATACCAGCGCAACCAGATGTTGCAGCCGGGGGACTCACAACTACGTCTGGATTTTGCAAGTGAATTTCTAATACGATATGATGCTGGTAACAACTGCCCCCTTCCCATACTATGGGCGGACCAGGCGCATTTCAACTTAAAGGGTAAGATTAACACCAAGAATTGTGTGGACTGGGCAGAGACGAATCCTGACGCTGTGGCACCAGTACCATTATTTGACGCCAAAGTGACTGTATATTGCGACATTAGAGCCACACCTGTTCTCGGCTCGTTCTTCTTTGAATAAGCGGGCCTCAAAGAAGAAAGGGCTTGTTTTAAGGCCAAGAGCTTGTTATAAGCATGTTATACGGGCCGTATAACATGGCTATAACAAGCTCTCGGTATATAATCTGGCTGCAAAATTATGTACTATCGGAATTGCGTAGGCGGATTGCACTCAATGACATCGTTCGGATGCAAGGTGGTGCACCTCCACATATAGCGAGGTCTCTAAAAAGGGTCTTGGAACAGCATTTTGGTAATCGCATCATCTCAAGCCATTATCCTTTTCCATGGCCTCCGCGATTCCCAATCTGATGCCTGTGGATTTCTGGTTTTAGGGGTATCTCAAATCCAGAGTTTACCTGTGCAATCCGCAAACATTGCCTGATTTAAAGGATTTTATACAGCGTGAGATTCTTCATGTCACGATGGGTTCAGTGGTATTGTCCACAGTCTCCCGCATACAATGCATACTTGCCTGTGATGGCATCCATGTGGAAAATGTTTGATCTAAATAAAATTATTTTTGTCCAATATGTGTTGTCATCAGTGACAGGTGTCTTGTTTCTGTCATATGCAAATTTTCTGCGTGCGTCCAGATCGTGTTTCGTTGGCCGGTTTTCATAACTCTTTTTTTGTGTATGCATAACACGTCCGTTCTTGGACATATAGGCACCGTTCCAATGCTATTTAGTTTACGCATGCGTTGAACATTTTGCGACCAGAAAAAGTTTGCGTTACCATTCGACATTTTCAAGTTTCTGTAACTATAACCGTAACCGTGAGCGCCCCTGTGTTGCCATTCATAGACTCTCAAGCGCATACCTCCGAATAACTATATTTGCAATCTCATCTCGATCGGTTAAGCGAAACGAAAGCTAGAAGTGCAGATGTTGTCAAAGTTTCTTTATGACCTCCCAGGACCTCCCAGTATATCATTTAGATCATTACTTGCTACTTTTGTTTCCTTCGGCCATTGATATGCATCTCGTTTTATTTACGCTGTAAACATTTGTATTTATGATAGTTTTAAGGCCTCCAGTTTTGGTTTTATTTTCACTGTACTACTCACGATGAATAGAAGTCATAGAAAAATAAACACCTTGCTACAGATCAGTGCTTAGTTGTGAAAGCATTATTTTTAGTACAAAAAATTTTAATATATAGTATAACGTAACAGTAACAAATAAAAATTAATGCAAACAGTACAATATAGTACAAATACAATTATTACAATACAGTAACAAATAAAAATTAATGCAAACAGTACAATATAGTACAAATACAATTATTACAATACAGTAACAAATAAAAATTAATGCCAACAGTACAATATAGTACAAATACAATTATTACCAATACGTAACAATAAAATTAAATAAATATTAAATCCTTTATTTTTATTTTTCAATTCAATAATTAATTTTAATACTAAACTTTTTGTATCTACAGTGGTGGCCAAAATTGTGTACTCTATTGAAATTTTATGTTTTTGAACTTTGTATGCTATAGCAACATTTACGTTTTCGCAAAATGTCAAACTGTAATATCTTTCAAAGAGAATTTATGAATGAATTCAGTACAAAAACATACAATTCATTATTTCAATTCAAAAAAAGTTACATGTACTTTTAATCATAAATAAAACACAGTTTTTGAAGTGGTTTGTAATGTCTACTTGCCTGACCAATCACTATTCTTATTTCTGAGAACCAATCAAATTTAGTACTTCCAGTAGAGGCTTACATCAATGTTTAACACTTGAAACAGTCATTATTTTGCTTTGTTCTGTAGAAGAGGACCTGTTTTCTTATACGGTGATTACAAGTAGGAATTTTTGGTAAAAATGTTTTATTTAGTCAAGAAAGCAATAACATCAATAAAAGAGTAGATTGGACCCCTAGAAAGATATGTAATATTATTTCGTTACAAGAAAGTGGTCTTTCCTAGTGCTGAAATTGCAAGACAGGTGACAAGGGTGGTTTCAGTGACTAATCTGGAGTCCGCAAGTTTTGTTTACAATATCGGAGACAAATTCAATAAAAAAAAAGAGGAAAGGCCGAAAGAGGTGCACCACATCTATTGATACATAAGAATAAAAAGACATGTCTCCAATATAGAAAAGTCATCGCGGCCATTAGAAGTGATTTGAATGATGCGGTGTTTCTGTTTCACACAATCAGTAGAAGATACAGATGTTGGACTGAGAGGTAGAATTTCAGAAAGAAGCCTTATCTTAATTTCATCAATTAAAAAAAGACTACATGGCCAAAGGAACACTTATGGACAGATGATCGTGGTCACAATTATATGGAGTATGAAACTAAGATATCGTTCTTCGGTGTGATTGGCGAAATATGTAAGACGTAGAATAGATAAGAGCTTAACATCCTACTGCTCAATCAACTGTGAAGAATCCATTAGTGTATGATTGTCATTCATGTCAGCAGATGGTATTGGTCGCCTTCATGTCAGCGATGGCACTGAATGCCAGAAATACTGACACGATTGCGAGAACAAAACTTCTACCTCCATCAGAGATCTCTTTCTCTTTCCCAAATGCTCGTTTATTTTTCAGCAGATTCTGCTCCTTGCCCACCGCCAAATATCGAAGAGCGTTTCGTACAAAGACGTAAATTGTTGTCATGGCCAGACAGTCCTGACCTCAATCCATCGAAACTTTGTGGCCCGTTTGAAAGTCTCTTGTCCGAATGCGGCCCATCAATTAAAGGGAACTAATTGGGCTATAATTGTTTCCTGGCATCATGTAATAACGAAAGAAAGCTTAAAACTCTTGCCACTCAATGAAACGTCGATGTAGCTGTAATCAAAAATAAAGAGTACCCTACTAAGAACTGTACTCACTGCAATCTCACTATCTAATGTATCGATAACTATTATCGTTTAACTTTTTTTGTATTGAAAATACTTGAATTTTGTGTTTTGTATTGAATTCAGTAATAATTCTCTTTAAAATGATATATACAAGTTTGCATTTTGTGAAACGTAACGTTTTCTATAAGCATTCAAAGTTCAAAAATATAAAAATTTCCAAAAAGTGTCCACAATTTTGGCCACCACTGTATATATTAAAAGGAAAAATCTAATCTGAAGTGTACTATTGCTGTAATAGATCCTTATTAACATTCATTCAAAACAAATTTGAACTAAATAGATTCCCTTACTTACTCCGTAAAAACATCTGAAGCTTTTACGAATTTCTTCCAAGTAGGAGTAGGAAAATATTTCCAGAACTGAATGTTCCCTGTAAAAGCCTCTAATCTATTCATGCAGTAAAACTGTGTTTGTACGGAATCTATCATTTTCATTCCATCTGAATCTTCGGGTAAATTGCTGTTAAGACATCCTAACCTTGTATCTAGTCCAACAAATGCAACAGCTAAAAGAAGTATAAATAATTATTGAAGTATTTTAGAAAGGGTGGAATATAATTATACAACTACATATCACAGCTCAGTTTCATTAAATACTAGTTTATTCATATATATAGAAAGAGAGAGAGAGAGATAGAAATGAAAATAAATATAATAAAACTGAATAAAGAAAATTTTTTGCTTAGTAAATCAGCAATTTTATAGCTATTTACATCTTTTTATATTTATAAATTCATTTTTCATTTTACACCATATTTCATCAAAATTTGCACTCCTAGCTTCGTCTTCCAACTCTTTTATTAGCCGCGTAGAAGAGAGGCGTATAACATTTATCCACGTATTGACATTACTATTTGTAAATGTTTTATGCCATGTGTCGTCCGCCCTCGAAGAGACAATGTATAATAGACAGTTTCTATTATCGTAAGAGGTTTTTATTGTTTCACTTTTGCATATTGCAAGTCACGATTATTAAAATCTTTTATTACTTCACTCACATATTTCATTATAGATGGAATTTTGTCATCGATTTTTTTTAAATTTGTTTTCTGATAAATTGTCGAGCTCAAATTTTGTATATACACTGCTGGCCGATAACAATACAATGTGGTGAGGTGGTGTTTTCAAAATTCGATTAATTTTATTGAATGTTTATTTTGTAAAATGCACCTAATTGAAGGTCTTTTTATAATGTTTCATTACAAGCTTTTTAAGAAATAAGATTTTATAATGTTTATTCTATAAGTTTTTTTTATTTAACGTTTGACCGATTTTTCGCTTATGTCTTTGTTTAACAAACAAACTAAAACATATAAGAATTTTTTTGGACTTCGGATTTCTCCACCTTCCCTAAAGAAATCCCCCTTAGTTTAAATCTTACTTAGCCGAATCCTTCTTGATTTGCCCAGTTTCGGAGTTTTTTCCTGCTTTACGATGAAACTTTCGCCGTTCGCCGGTCGTTTTGGGGAATCAATCTTTCTTCTGCCATTGCTTCGCCTTGTTCCCGTAGTTCTGTTGTTGCTTCTGCTGCAGTCTTGGCGTATTCCACCGACTTCTTCGCTCACATTGGCGCGCTTCGTTGTCTGCAGCTCTTCGACTTCCACTGTACGGCGAGTTCGTATCATTTTCCAAAGTCTTGGTTTCTGAGCTCGGATTAACCTGAACTTGGGCAGTCGTTAGGGATTATCACTTGAATGATTTCAGGATCCAGGCGACTTCCATACAAATGCGTGAAAACTTGATCTTTCTTAAAATAAAATTTGACAAATCTTCAATTTTTTCTTGATATCTGCTAAAAAGTTCAGCCTGTAGTCTGGCTCTATCTCATACGACCGGAAATGCTCTCACCAAAGAACTTTTAAAATTTTCATACGTATACGTGGGGCTTTCTGGTTCACCGAAAAGATTCTTTCCAATATATTTAAACCAATTTAGCGCTCTGGCCCTTTAAAGCGCTGGTAGCAAGCGTGACTTTCTGAAACTCGTGGACTGGATATAACATGAAATGCGCATCTAGTTTTTCCAGGAAATTACTTACGGTTGTCCTGCCGTTGAAACTTGCCGCTGGTTTTTCATGATGCCCCGCATATTTTTGCATAATGTAAGCCAAAACCTTCTAGTCCGGAGGTGGTAAATGTCCGGGCTCTGTTACCGGTGCTGCGGTAGCTCAGTTTCGATCTTCTTGCCTTTCATCCATCCTCGTTTTTTTCTTCGGGCGCCAGTGTCAGACTACTGTTCTTGCATACTTTTGCAAACATAAGTGGCTGTATCAGGTCCTGAACTCGAATATTTTTGAGCTGAAATTCACTATGTTTCTTGTGAGTGCTAATAATACAACGTAATAAGGGTGTAAACTACCCTTTTATTTAATCAACTAGTTACAGCAACTCCCAGCTCGGGGTGATAACTTAGTAGACATTTAATTAGCCGCTGTCACAGAGCTTAAACTCGAGATTGGGGCTATTTAAGTGCATAGCAGCCTTTGCTAAGTACTAACGCACTTAAATTACTTCATCAGTATTAGAGACTAGCACTACGGCGTAAGAATTTAAATACTAACTATTCTGGCGAACGTCCACCGAGCCGAGTGGTCTTGAACAAAAGCTCTCTCACACTTGAGAAGTTTCTCACTAACCTTTAAATACAAACCTTGGCTCAACACAATTAGCAATAAAGCTGAACCGCGTGCTCATTCTGAAGGGAAGTTGAAATAAGAGTTTACAGGAAAGGGTAACTTAAAATAAAAAGAAATTTGGTTAGTTTAACTTTAAAACCTTACCAGGTTGTAAAAAATTTAAGTTGATATTTGCCTGTGAAAATGGACAGATCGAAAGTATAGGTTCTTTAATTATATCAAAAACCTCATGCTTTAAGTCAATTACACTCCTGATCGCATGGTTCAATTTTAAGATGAAGGGTCTTTTAAATCATTTTTTCCAGTCCATGCTTTGATTTTTTTGCTGGAGATGTGATGGTCAGCAAAGTTTTAAATTTTGGTTGTGAATTAGATGATAACTAATTTTCTTCTATTTTCTAAACAATTTAAACCACACTCAATTTCTGTTTTAATGTTGTCTGCGGATGAAACAGCTCCAGTGATGATTTTGGAGGCCTTTATTGAACACTGTCGATCTTTTCCTTTACAGAAGATGAAGCTGCTGCCCGTATGGGTGCAGCATATTCAAGAGGGGGCCTAACAAGCAAATTATATGTATTAAGTGTCTTTGTTCTTGATCCTCAAGATGTACCATATAATAGTTTTAGACTTTGTAGCCTTTTTAAGGCTTTATAAGAGTTTAAGGTGTTGTGAAAATCTTAATTCTGCATCTAGAATTAGACCAAGATACTTGGGATTGGATACTTGTTTGATCTCAGAACCACATAAATTTATAAAAGGATGAAAAGATTTTCTGTTTTTGCTATGAGTAGAGAAAATACAATAATTAGTTTTATCAGGATTTATAATAAGCCAACGTTTCATTATCCTGCATACAACTATTGAGAGTCTTTTTCGGAAAAGAAATATTTGACTGAGTATGCCAGACTGCAGTGTCGTCATCAAAGCAATCCACTTCAGCTTTCCCACTGTTGTGAGGGGTCAATGTTATTCAAGTACAGGAGGAAGAAGAGAGGTATTAGCACAGAACCCTGAGGAACTCCTACCCGAGTACGATGAATTTTTGCCATTTACTTTGATTCTGAATTTTCTTCCTTTCAAGAAAGTCATTTATCCAGATGACAGAATTACTCACAATACCCACACTGTTGATGATATCAATCAATTTTTGTCTTCAGACACTCTCAAATGCAGCAGAGAGATCCAGGAAGATTACGGTGGTCTCCTTGTGGGGCCTTTCTTTTGAATCCATTTATTACTGACTGGCAAAATTAAAAGAGTGGATCTACGGTGCTATGCATATCCATGTAGGCAGTATGATAAAAATGCAGGACATTTTCCTCAGTAAGCCATTTCATCAATCCAGTATGAGTCTAATATGAATTACTCTTTCGATTAGCTTGCAAAGAAAAAGTGTCAGCGAAATGGGTCTATAAATTTTGCAGTTGGTAGAAGCCTTTTTTGGCTTAAGGATAGGTATAATAATTGAGTTCTTCCAGATCTTGCCAGTACGCCAAGAAATATTGAAAATTTGAATGAGGATCTTTTCACATTTTTGCCAAAATGCATTACCATTTGGCCGTAGATGAGATCAGATCCAGGGAATTTCTTAAGATCAAGTCGCTGAATAACGGATTCTAGTTCCTCAAGGGTGAGATGAAATGTGAAAAGGCAGTCATCAGATACATTCTTGTTAAGTTTAATAATTCATTTATATGCCCTATAATATTTTCTATCCTCTGCGGTAAACTTTAGTTTGCTTGAATTTTCATAGAGTGTAGCAAGCATAGTTGCTTTTCTTTATTAGTTCTTGTATTAACATCACCAACCGATAGAACATTCGACTGAGGCTTTTCTTACTTTGGATAGCTGGAATTATTTAGAACTTTTATCAGGTTCCAGTACTGGGAGATTCCGTTTCAAGGTCAAGACTGCTACAGAGTTCTGCCTACTGTTTTAAATATTTGAAATTCTGATATGTTATAAAACAAACTCTTCACCCTGTTTTAAAGCAAGAATGATAAAAAATAATACTTTTATTCATTTAGTTATTTGATTCATATCCCTCCACCTCATTTTCTAAATAAATCAGTGCGAACTGTTAAGCATGGTTGTGCTGATCTTTGAGCCTCCTGTACTAAACAGCAACTCTGTCTGAGAGTTCCCGCCATCTTTATTATTTGCAAACCTTCCACAGGATTATATTTTCCATAATGTTCTGTAACTATTTTAAAATATGCTGCCATTACTGATTAACATTCTAACGTCATAATAATCTGTCAACAACGTATGTCGTCAGTAACATTCTCTTCTCAATCGAGCCACAAAGAAACAAAAGTTACGTCTGGAATAGAAACTGCCACACAGCGAAAGCGACGATTGGGGAAAAAGGGATAAAAACAATTAAATAAGATTCATAATTAAAAATTTGATGATAAATAAACAAAACTGAGAAACCGAAGAGAAAAAGGAGCCAGAAGTAAGTGAACAACGTGAAAACTGACTGAAACATTCAAGACAATTTTTAGACAAAAAAGCTGAAAAGACAATACAGCCAATTCAAAACAGATCGAAGGTCACTATATCTATCATTCACAAGTTAAATCAGAAACGTTCGAAAAGGGTGAAAACAGACGTCAGCACATATTAGTATATCGCAAATTAGAGAAGCCAAAACATCACAACATTAGAATGCTACACTGGAAAAGTGTCGACGCCTCCAGGCACAAAATCACAAGTTAACGTGGATACTTTCGAAAAAGAATTAATACATTTCTGAGGTACAGCATGTGAAGTGTGTACGAAATTATATTATCGAAATCAGCTTTCATTCTGTCTATCTAGCCCAATAGCGGCATTTTATTTAATGGTTTACGCCGTATTTCAAGT